GAAGGCACCGAAGACACCACAGTCTGCACTCTAAGCTCATTATCTTCCATGTCGTCCATTCAGTACAACATTGTCTACACCACTGCCGGCGCTAACAATACTGACTGTTATACCAATAATGCCAGACACTATCCAATCGATACTTTAGACACGAATTATTGATTTAGTTTATAGATATTATATGTGATCTTTTGGAAAATGTTTTTAAATTTATTTATTTTGTGATAAAAATATTTTATAAATATTAATAAATAAAGGAAACGTTGTTTTAAAATTGTCTTTTAATTCTATGTTTTATTTAATTCTTGAATTAAATTTATAAGCAATGAATTATGTAAAACTCAATTCACTGAATGCTAACCAACAGAGAAAATGTAATGAGCATTAAATGGGAGAAATACATAGGAATCTACTCTTTTATCAATCACAAATTATTTATTTGTATAATATATTATATTTTGTAATTATTAAAAAGGATAAATCCAATAAATATTATAGTAACGTTAGTGTAACCATAATACTGGTGATTTATTTATTATGGTCCACGAGTATTTTATTAATAAAAAGTTAATAATTAATAAGCCCTTAAAGTTATCTAATAATAGTAAACATCACGTTATTTCCTAATAATATCTCAATTATATGTGAAATCAATTTAATAATTAACGTAATTAAATGTTTTAAGAGAAACATATGGATTCTAACATTTAAAATAATTTAATATTATTATTATTTTTTTAAAACATAAAAGTAGAAAAGAGAAAGGAATGAGAAAACATGTATTAATTGTTTTACTTATTTTACTCATCAAATGTAAATTATTTAATACAATTAAAAACAAAAATTCTCATATAATTTATTCTTATACTTAAGGCTTACAAACTATAGACTCTCATGGAGTTCATGAAATGTAAGTCCATTTCAATAAATCATTTATATATTCAACAATTAATTGAAAAAAATGTATTAATTATTAAATTAAAGTAAGAACTATGCGATCGATGAGACGGGTTTGCCAAACAAAGTGACACAAATATTAGCAATGATTAAATGTGTTGTCAAATGTTTTGTCGAAACGATCAACAAGAACCAAGTTTGTGAAAAGTTGTTTCCCTGTCTTTACGATTGCACTATCGGTCAGAAATCAATATCACGGGAATTGGAGACAAAGATCCAGATGTCTTCGGGCAAAGTGTCAAAGATCGAGATGAAAGTGATCTATAAAGTGCTCAAATGCGCTCACCATTGCATTCTCGACCGACCCATCACTGATTGGCAATCATTTTCACACGCGCTCTACTGTTTCACTGATACCTGTATTTGTAACGGATTTTTCAGTAGAAAAACCACTACAACAACACCTAAGCCTTCACTTTGGCAAAAATTTGTCAATAATTTATAAACTAATCATTTATTTCGTTATATATTTCAAAATTTTAAGTTGCAATCATTGAATCTAACAAATGAATTAAATGTATGATAGTTTTTAGAAATTAATTTTAATTTCGAGGTAAATAAATAACAAATATGCTTTATTCTATTAATTTTTATTATATTTTAATTTTATCTATTTATCTAATACTACATTGTATAAATATATTAGTTTATTAAATAATAGTAATAAACTAAAATAATTATCAGAAACCGTGTTATATCTTATTATGCAATTGTTTACTTTTAATTATTATTTTTTTGATTTCCTAACTTTAATAAAATAAATGAATTTTTGATGATTTCATATAAAACATATGTGAATACAAATAAAATAAGAGTTAAGAAAAATGTTTACAAACAGGCAATTAACCATTTTTACACTTATGGCAATAATTAATGGCAAATATTTCATTTTAATATAATTTATAAGAATTGGCGGTAAAACAAAACTAATTCATTCATTAA